TTTCCTCTCGCTGGGAAAGCTTTACACTTAAGAATTTGGGATTCAAACTTAGTGGTGTTTGATGGGCTAACAATGAATGGCTATGGTCCGTATTTATAAAGAACAAATAATACGGGCACTTGTAACGTTACCCACAAATCTGATTATTAACATTAAAGTGCATGCATAATAGAAAGGCACCAACTTTTCTTTTGCTTTTGGATATAGTTATATTTTGCAGCGCGGAGGGGCATACTCGTCATTTCACCATATCCGTGTAAAATCATGCAAGCTTTTGAATTTCTGAATACAGTATGAAGGATTCCATTTTCGGGTGAATTTTAATTTCTGCCCCCTCAATTTTAGACATATAGCGCTTTAATACCCTGTTGATAACATAATAATGTACCATGTTGCTATAACATTTTAAAATGTTTATGTACAAAACTATATTCGTAGTAATTGGAACTTAATAATATATATACAACAGCTTTTACTAGTTCAACCACAAAATATTGGCATGTTCAATGTTTTGACATACTCAATGTTTTTTAATTTAAAGTTAAGATATAATTTTCATATTATAAAATAAACACCATGCATTCATGATTAATTAAAGTGGAAAATTGTGAAATCGTAATGACATCAATGTATTGAATCTAATTAGTGATTAATTAATTCCACCAGAATTTAAATTATCTTCACATAATAAAGGTCATTGTGTCCGACGCTCCTTCGAGCTTCAAGGGTAATCCCGAGCTGCCACCTTTACACGATTGGTGGAGTGATACTTTGAAAAAGAGTTTGCTGAGAACCGAGGTACCCCATTACTTCGCGCTTCCAGCTTTTCTACTTGCTAGTCCTCCACCAGATAATCAGCTCGAGACTACTCCTTGCCAGACTGCTCCTTCTGTCGACCAACCGAAGGTCGAGCAAGACGCACGTGTCAATGATGTGGATAAAGAAGTTGTCCCTCCGCCCTAGCGGTGATTTTGTTGTTGTAATTTTATTTTAAACTTTTTGGTTGTAATATCTGACCCAAACGTACTTCTTATTTTTGTACGAATATTAATTCTTGCTTTCTTCAAATTCTTGTGTATATTTTGTGTGGCTTTTCAACATGTAAATAACTTGTAAAATTTTCACTAATAAACCTTTTTCGACTTGTCGTGGAGGTCTTAGGAGTGAATCCAAAGATCCTCACGAAAGCAAACTCTCGACCTGTCACTGCGGTCTTAAAGATAGTTCCAAAAGATTTACCTTGCAAGCATCTTCAACCCGCCACCGCAGTTTTCAACATATCTCCATTCAATTTTGCCAATTAACTTTCTACCATCGAGGTCTTTTGTCTAATCGTTTCGCGCCAGCTCGTAAGCTCAAACCTGATTGCCTTGATCTTCATGGTGCTTTAGCCTTCAGGTCTTTAACGACTCTATGAATAGGATCGACCACCCAGCGCGAAGGCCTTGATCATGTTGGATTTAGGCCTCAAGGCTACCCTATAACATATGTCTGGCCTGCTCACGAGACAGTTCGAGCAAATGACCACTCAACTCGAAAGTCTTAGTCTTGGTGGATTGCGCACCCAACGCTTACCCAACCCAACACTAGGGTCTTTAAAACAAAGTAACCACCCAGCCCGAGGGCCTTAATTATGGCGGATTTTCTCTGGCTCGTTGATAGTCTTTGACCTCCATGCACTTGCCCAACTCAAAACTAGGGTCGTTCAAACAAGTGATAACCCAACTCGAAGGTCTTGATCATGGTGGATTTGGACTCCCCAACTTTGAGCTCTCCATGCACTTTCTCAACCCGACACTAGGGTTGTTCAGACAAGTGACCGCCCAATTGCAACCCGAAACCGTTAATCATGGTGGATTTTAGAACACCACTTAATGGTCTACCCCTGAGGTTAAGACAAACATTTTAGATCAAAACCTTAGGGACTCCAATCATGCAGCAAATATTGTTGTAAAGAAATTGTACGACCTTGTCCTCCTTGATCCTTGTTAGTGGCTCTACCTCTACCAACTTCATAAAATAGTTCACCGCTACAATAAAAAATTTCCGCTGACCCGTTCCACGTGGAAACGGTGCCACCAGGTCAATCTCCCACTGCGCAAATGGAATGGGCGACTTCATCGTTGTCATTACCTCTGTCGACCTGTGTAAAAGTGGATCGTTCTTCTGGCACTTCAAATAGTTCTTTACCACTGTTGTTACATCAACCCTCAAAGTTGGCAACAAGTATCATTTTCGAAGTATTATTACCTCCAGTGAAGACAACTTGCTGAGCATGTATCGACCTTTCTCAGCAGTGACACATCTGATATGAGGATCAAAATACGACCTCTTAAACAATACACCCTCCAGGTCGAAAAAACTTCCTCACATACTTCAGATTTTCCTCCTTCAACTCCTTTAAGATGGGAGTTCTCCAATCTTCGACCTCTTGTACTTTCGCCACTTCTACAGAGCTTTTCTCCATATGCAACAAAGTGACGCTCTGACTTTTACATCCACTTAGAATTTAGTCTAGTACTTCTGCATCCTCTCCTCTTTCACATCGAAGCCTTCCTGAAATTGGCCCACCACCAACTGGGAATCAGAGTGTCCCTAGATCTCTCGAGCTCCTCCAGTTATGACTACATGTAAGCCCTTCACTAATGCCTCATATTATGCCTCATTGTTAGCCCATCTTGGTCGCAAACTCCAACTATCACCCTTGGGCGAGATCAGCACGATGCCCCGCTCCTTCTTTTGAGATCGACTTGTCCACATACATCTGCCACTTCCCTTCTGACTCAACATCCGCTCTTGTACCCTCTTGAATGAAATCAGTTAGAATATGGCTTTGATTGCCCTTCTGGTTCGTAAAGAATGTAGTACTCACTCAGCTCCACCTATATTTCACCAACCGACATGAGACTGACATTCGTCCCAAGGTATCTTTTAAAGATATATTCATCCTAACTTTCAGTTTATGGTTACACAGTAAGGCCTCAATTTTCTAACTGTGACCACCACAGCCAGAAGACCCTTTTTTATTTTGAATAGCTTAATTCAGCTCCTTGCATCATTCTACTGACATAAGAAATCAAAAATTGAGTTGTTCCCTCTTCTCTAAAGAACACCACGCTCACTTTTGTAGCTCCTATCGAGGTATAAATGACATGATCTTCTATCTGAATTGGCTTGGCTAGTAGAGACAGATTAGCCAAGACACCTTGCTCCTCAAATGCTTTTTGGGCCTCCTCTGTCAAGTTAAACTTCGAGCTCTTCTTCAAGGTTTTTAATTGTGGGCTATTTTTCTTCACGACCTTATAGATTAAACGACTCAATTCAGCGATTCGAGCCATCAAGATTTGTACCTCTTTCACGCTCTTTGGAGGTCTCATCTTCGCCACAGCTCGCACCTTCTCAGGATTTACCTTGATTCCTCTTTTTTTTACCATATAATAAAAAATTTATCATATTTCACCCCAAAGAAACACTTAGTTCGATTCAACTTCATCCCATACCTCCTCAACTAGAGAAATTTTCTCTTAAATCAGCATAATGATTGACTTCTCGTTTTCTCTTTACCAACATGCGTCAACGTAGACCTCCATGTTTCGACCAAGTTGCTCATTTTGAATGTAGAGAGAGAACGTAAAATGGTAAACTAATCTGCCACAGCCCGTTATATAGGGGTGTGGTGTCTTGCTCCCAAGTTTGCCCGAAGAGTTGGACCTATTGTCTAAGCTACCCGTCTGTAATACCTATAGTGTCTCAGGTTGCCAGGCTTGTCAGGTGTGCAGACGACACACTCTCGTTGCGACACGTGGTCCAGTCTTATATGGCTTATTCTCGAGTTAGATGTCTTATTATCTTTCAGGCTTCTTTATTAGACGGTCTTACCGTAAGACTGTCCACGTCATCAGGTAGAAAACTCATTAAGTAGAACATCTTTCTCACAAGCACTTCTATTGTCCGTGAAGTCGATCCATCAACCCGAGTTCCCTCAGGTCGAGCTTAGTAGCTCGACCTGTAGTTGACTTCTTCGGTCGAAAGGTCATCGTCAGCCCGACCATGGTCCTCAGGTCGAGCCCTGGCTACAACTCGATCCACTTGTTCATCCGATCTAATTGTCTGGTTTCATATATAGTTCCGACTGACCCGGTATTACATTAGTAGGGGATGGGGAAATGTTTTGGGGTTAAATAGTTATTCCAACAAATTAGGCAAAATCGGCTCATAAAGTGTGGGATAATGACACCTTAATAGAAATGGTGTAAAAAGATTACAATTGCTGCCGAAAACGTAAAGCAAGCTGCCTACCAATAACATGGGAGCTGCAATAATACCCAAAAATAATGATATTCTCTATTTATTTTTATTTTTTTTTATTTTTTACGTGTGAACTAATCTTTATTAAATTACCAATAATCCACAAAATTTTTGGGCTTAACTTAATTTCAATATTAACCCTATAATTACAATGAGAAGGTATACGTTTTGTTTCGGTAAATGTCCT